GACTTGTCATATTTTCATATCATTATATTTTATAATGAATAAATTTTATTTATTTTTATACAAGTGGAGTTTGTACTTTCATATGCATTACAACTCTTACAAATGTATTATATGCTTCTTAAAATAATTGTACCGTATGGATATTTATATTTGACGGCAATCATTGTGATGAATTGTGATGCTTCAAAATTATGCAAATATCGCAAGATTACTAGTGGTGCATGGCATCGTGCCTTAAGGCAAATTGCTGTAACTTCTCGTACCAAAAATTAAATTTAAAAAAAAAAAACAATTTTTTTTAAGAACTCCTAACAAAACCGGTCACTGAGATAATTACAGTTTTTTAAATAAATTGACCTTTTTGAAAATTTTTGTTCAAGGCAATCGCGATACATTAGCTGAGTAGAAACGAGATATCAAAGCTCAAATTTGTTATTATTGAAATATCTATAAAATATGTGATAATTTGTAGTGTACATATGTTTAATGATCACTTTTATCGACCAAATGGCATTTTTTTTCATTTTTTTATTGGATCTCCGAAACCGCCAGACCTGATGTTACAAAAATTTGTATCCGCATACACATACATTCATTTATTTTTTCGAAAAAATTCCAAGATGTTCAAAAACCTTTGAAACGTAAAGATATATAAAAATATACATTTTCGATTATTATGCGATTACAACAACTTACCTACGAGAAGTTAAAATACGCACTTTGAAATAGATAATCAAATTATTGACAATTTACTTGATATTTTTATTATTTGTTATTGATTGTAGTTAATTTAGAAAAATTCAGTATTTGTTTTGAAAGCAGTTTGCTTGCAATTCAAACTTTTTCTCGTACAATGCAGATATAAGTTAGTAATAATATATGACAAAATAGATAAGTTAAATTTTTAATGTACTGCTTGTTCTAAAAAATATTGTATGATATTCAAATATTTGACATCAAACTATTTATGATATTTTATTATCAAGCAACAAAACGTATATAACTACGGTACTAGTAATTGGTAATGATCTAAGTTTGTGAATTTAAAACAACTTTTATTTACAAAATCATATATTCTTACGGAAATGTATTTATCCAAGATCCGCTTTGCTTCATACAGAATACGAAAATATGAATATTTAAAATGTAATGTAGCTTTGAGCAAAAAATCTATACAACAAGAGCTTTTTTCTCAAGTTTATTTGCGATTCTATTTTTAACAAACGGCAAAAAAACTCCGTATTCAATGTAACGGCATTTATCAATAACATTACATTATTGGTAATGTGTTTATGTGAATTGATTCTTTGTTTTGCATTCTATTTTTATTTTTTGGTCAGTAATATTTCAAGCTTTCCATTCTAATACTTATAACGAATTTAATAGAGAAATAAATTCAATTAGTGATAAAGTAAATTTAGAAAATAATGTCTGAGTAGAATACTGTATCGTATATATATACAAAAATAGAGTTTTGCTGACGAATGCGCAATGAGAATATGTTTTTTTTTATAAGAAACATTTTCTAATTTAAGATGAAAACATGTATTCATGACGGTATATAACTAAATGAGAGTACGTTGACATATGAAAGAAACTTCAAATGTTATTAAGTTTTACTTTTCAAATGAATTTCAAGAATTCTACTACTACTCAAAATATTATTAACTCTAGTTTTTCTAGCCAACATGTTTTAGACACACATATCTTACATTGCGATTCAAATGTAAAAACAGTTTGTTAAAAGCTTCTTCATTGGAACGTTATTTTTCCAGTTTCTATAACGTCAAATGATTTTGTTTACTTAAAATTGCAAATTCAAAGTTCAAAATTTTATTTTATATATGGCACCTATATTTATATAAAAATTACAAAAATTACCTATTATTTTTAAAACGTATCTTCAGATATTTTATTGGACTAAAGTCTCATTTACAAATGCTTTCTGCTTCAATTAAGAGAGAAGTTATGGTAGATAAACAGTAATTGTGATTATATTATCAACTTCGGGGAACGAATTCCGAAAGTTCTCAGTATGAAAAGTTGAATCAAGGAGTTGGATAACATGAAGCAGTATTGTATTGTATTCAAAATTGCAATACAAAAAATATTCTCATCGGTTCCAGCGTTTCCTACAAAAAACTGAATTTCATACCAAAATATTTCAGTATATCATTTATCACAACCATAATATTTCTCTAGCATTTTGCGTTTATTGGAATTTTATCTATACCACCAACCCTATTTCATTTGAATACGAATTTTATGTTTTTTGCAATATCTCACTTTGGAAAAAAACGCGTACTTCAAGAATAAATCTCATGGAATTAAGCGCCAATTTGTTACGAAATGATAACGAATATCGGTTTTGCATAAATTAAATAAGAGTGGAGTTATTTCTTTCCAAACATTTTTCATCGCGGTCACCCTGGGTACCAATATTTCGAATTTAATACTTTAATCCATAGCACTTATTATTCACAATATTGTGACACGTGTACGCTATTATTATTGATTGGAATTGGAAAATTTTAGTTCAAATTTTTAAATCTGATAGTATAATTAGTAATCTTAATAATTGCATATGTTATATCATGTTGGCAAATAAGTAAGTGAGGATTTCTGATAGAAAATAAAAGATATTTTTTAATGAAACAAAACATCTTTATTCTATGATGTATTGTCCATTTTAATCAATGACTTTTTGTCATCTTCCTAGCAGCATCATTAATCCACTTTTATAAAGCTTCTGGTTTTAACTAGCAAAATCTGAATCAGGTACAATTTGGAACCATCATAATCATTGAATTATCTACCTCCTTGAATGGCACGTAGAGATCAGAACAAAAAGTAATTAAAAAGTGCAAGGTCTACATTTTATGATGGATTTACCAAAGCATCCCAATCAGGCTCCAATAATTTTTGCCGTGTGGCCAAACATATGTGAAGTCAATAATGAAATAAAACGCTACTTCGATTTGTCAATTCAGGCCGTTTTTTTCCAAATACTTGGTTTAACTTCGTTTGCTGTTTAATGTAGACATCTGAATTGATCGTTCGGATGAATGATAAGAGGAAACATAGACTATTCCTTTGTGATCAACTTCAACTGTACGACCAGAGCGTTTTTCATCTGTGAGTGGAAAATTACCCGAGAAAAGTTTAGCAAATCAGTTTTGACACTGCCGTTTTTAAGGCTTCATGACCATAAACTACGCAATTTTTATTGTGACCTTAAGAAGCCCTCTTCCCTTTTGCAGAAATATAAAAGCAAAATTTGACAAAATTTATCCATTTGATAAAAATATTTTGTGTTTTCAAACCATAAAATCTAATGCTAAATTAGATGACAACATATATTTTAATATATTTTCGATAATATATTGTATTTTATAAAATTCATAAAACAGTTTGTATTTATTGTTTACTAATTTTTTTCAATAATAAATATATCAAGTATTTTACTTTACATTTTCACAATCCTGATTAATGTGGCAATTTTGCCATAACAAAGCTCATAACATAGCGTTGTCATGGCAGCGCTATCTTATGCTTGTTTATTGACAGTAAAAATTGTGAAAATGTCTATTTGCTGTGCAATAATGCATATTTTGCATATAAACAATCTGATGATAACAGAATCTTTGATGATGCAGTTATCATAAGATTCTTTCTTGCTTCGCTACATCAAAATACGTCTAGTCGCACAACTTGATAGACATTTTCACAATTTTTACTACCAATAAACAAGCATAAGATAGAGTTGCTATGACAGTGCTATGTTATGAGCTCTGTTACGGCAGAATTATCCCATAAATACGAATTTGATAAAACTTGTACACTTTTTAAAAAGGGGCCTCTCAGAAGTCGACCGTTTTCAACAATTTTCAATTCGTGGTTTAAAAAAAGGTAATTCTTGAAAACTAAGAGCAATTGTATTTTTTTACTTTAAACAAAATTAATAAGAGTCAACCACAATAACCCAAAAATGGTCATAATTTCACCAGAGCTCTAAGATGCGCATAAAAGCTAAGAATTTCCTAACAACAAGAAATATTTTTTTTTAATTTGTTTTAGTATAGTTGAGGTCAATACTTATACCACGTTTAGACTAGGACACCCTGTATGTGTGTATATATATATATATATATATATATATATATATATATATATATAAATATCACACTTGCTGCGTAACCTTGATCAGTGTTCATAATGCACCGCTAATAAAAACATAATATAAAGGGCAATATGTGCTCCTCTAATTCCTCGTTATTAATATATTAGTATATTATTCTTTTACACAAATTTAGAGTTCTATAAATTTTACATTATTAATTAATTTTTTGTTGTTTTTCCTGGTTTGATTACTGAATGATGACACAGATCAAGTGTCGAAACGTTTAATGGAATAAATAATTTTTATATTTAATCTTTTTTCAATTCGACGATTGGGCTGCAAAAATATTCCAAATATGTATCAAAGTCGACAAAACTATCATCATATTTGGTGCAAAATTTTAAATAAAAAAAATTTTGAATGAAATGCAAATATAATATCATTAATTAACTTTAAATGAAATACAAATATAACATCGTATCAACTTTAATTATCAAAATATTATTTAAATAACGAGTGTTAATTAAAATAATATACTAATTATACAATGAATTGAAATTTGCAGCAAATTGAAATAACCGAATAATATGACAATGTAATTATCGTATAGATGCACGTGACACAATAATCCGCAAAGGCATTAGCAAAATGAATTATGCAAAAGCAGTGAGTGAGTGAGTGAATGATCCTCGCACAGTACAGCTATGCATTCTGTGATCAAATAATTTCATTTATGTACAATATGATTAGATACGTTAAAACTGATGTGCGCCTCGTGCTAATGAAATCGATTCAAGTTTCGTAATACTGGCACAAGTAAATGTTGCTATGATATTTGATATGAAAATACGATTAAAATCTTCCAAATTGTCGTGATACAATGTGGGTGCACTTAAACTCCAGCGCCCTGTTGTTGGCGATGTCTTTCACCTTGATGGTAAATGCGGAAGCCAGTTCTCAACGACACAGGAAGAACGAACAACGCTCGAAATCATATCCTCGAGAAAATGGTTATGTCAGAACAGATCTATCCCGCAACGACTATGACGAGGAATATTTTATATCGGCGCCAAAGTATGGAATATACCACCATGATTTCCTGGACGATTTTAAAGAGAGCTCTTTATATCCCCAACGATCCTCAAGCGCAAAGAAACGACATCACAGACGTCATTCTGGACATAAATCGCATCGTGCTACAAATCGTTCTTCCCGGCGTTCTTTAGAAGAATCATATCAACCCGAAATTCCTTGGCCTGTCAAGAAAGAAGCAGTTATAGACGGTGACTTAGTTTTAGGAGGTCTGATGATGGTTCATTCAAGAGAAGATTCGGTGACTTGCGGTGCAGTGATGCCCCAAGGCGGCGTGCAAGCGTTAGAGGCGATGCTTTATACTCTCGACAGAGTCAACAGTGATAAGACACTCCTGCCGAATATCACGCTAGGCGCTCACATATTGGACGACTGCGATAAAGACACTTACGGACTCGAAATGGCGGTGGATTTTATCAAAGGTGCGTAAAATGTTCTCTGTACATATACGAATATTCTCGTGTCTTTCATTTTATAGGATAGCATGTTCGCACACAAGTCTTGCCATATCGTTAACACCGTAAAACAAAACATTTACATAAGAGATGGTTCATGAAATTTGTGTACATATACATTGATCTATAAAATGTTTTTCGATTTAAATATTCCATGTGTTATAATAAAAATATTAGCTTTTATTATCGAAAAATATAATATTTTTATGTGTATATAAACAAAACAGTCCGTCACTAACAATTTTTTTTCTAGATATTCATTATAGAGCAATCGAAAATGCAATTTGGATAAGTATAATAAACATAACGCATACAAAAAAAACACTTACACATATGCATATTACATTAACATATATTACATTGCTTAAGTAATCTCCACCAATGATAAATTTCCAAATAGAAAACTAAAATTAGTTTAAAATAATTTTAATTGCATCTGTTGACCAATTTCTTTTGGGTCGCCCACTATTAGAGAATTGAGTAAAGTTAATAATTCGTTGGGATGATCTTGTCACTAACAAGAAAAAAATTAATTGAGATATCTTTTCTATTATTGGTAGTAGTGTATGGCTTCTTGCCTTAAAGCAAATTGCTCGAACTTCCCTCACCAGAATTAAATATTCGAGAGAAAAATTCATTAATCAATAAATATTGATCAATAATTAATAACAATTGTTTGAAATGTTTTCAAAGATATAATTATAATTGCTACATATTTATTCGTTAATATAATATACAGTGACGGTCTTATCACTAAAAAACACTTGAAAATGTTTATATTAAGAAGGAATGCTAAATGAATACATCTGAAGATATATTTCTTACGAGGAGAATAACGCGTATACAGTTTTAAACTGAATTGTAAATTTAAAATTTATATTTGAAGTAAAAGTAAAGTAAAAGTTGTACATTTTTGAAAATTTTGAAAAAAAAATCTGAAGATGTTTGAATTGTTTGAACCGTATAAGTAAACTTAAAAAAATAAAAATCTTGGTACGGAACCCCAAAAAATTGTAAAAAAAATTGTTTTTATTATTAAATATCTATAAAATATCTGATAATTTGATGTGAATATGTCTAATGATCATTTTAGACCGCCAAATATTTTTTTTGTTTACATTTTCTTCTGTTGTCTCCGAAACCGCTAGACTAGCCTACCCAAAAATTTAACCAATTCTTCATATTGTCAATAAAAATAAAATGTATTTTGAATCATTCAAATCGGGCGCTCCGTTACCTTGAAAAATGAAATACTAATTATGTCACTTTTTGCCCCGTATCTTCAAAACGGCTGACCTGTCAGCACGTCTTCCCATCAGTAGGAATCGAATGCTTTTTGAATCTTTCAAATCGGTTGATTCATGCGCCCAAAATCGTGAACGAAATATTGTATCCAAACATACACATACACACACGCACATACATCCATTTTTTCTAAGGTATGCAACACGTTCAAAAACTTCTGAAACGTAAAGATATGCAAAAATTGTCATTTTCGATTTTTTTCGATTACTATAACTTACTCAACAAGAAGTTAAACTTTTCGAGTTTTAAATGAATTTTGTAAGAAAAATTTGTATTTTCTATATTTGTAGAATACTATGTGGTTAGAACATTTTTCTAATATTTCTGGAAAAAATGTTTCCAAACTTTTTTGTGTCGCGGACCCTTTGGTCTTTGCCTGCACCCTCTATTTACTCGATTTTTAGTAATTTCTAACTGTTTTATGAATTATTATTAAATATTTAAAGTAAACTACATGTAAATTTTGATAATAATTAATTAAAATTAAAATAACAAACGAATAAAAAGTAAAAAATAAATGTTTAATTATCAACATTCAGCAACTTTTTCAGACCTTCGTTTTTATTTAGTAGACCTTAAAATTCTTTTTTCGTTGATGTGGACCCCATGAAAGTTGTCATTTATAAATCTTGCAATGAAATTTTATAACTCCATAATACAAACGTATTTCCATAAGTAATTGTTTGATATTTATTTGTTTTTATGAAAATATGCCCAACACAATATCTAAGCAATTTGATTGGCAAATGAGACAATGGCATGATTATTTAATTTCATGTTCATTTTGCAATATATGTTGTAATATTATAACAATTTTAACAATTGAAAAAAAATTGAATTGATTTAATATTTTTTATTTTTATTTTTATTGTAATATTTAATTCATTAATATCTCACTAATTCTAATAGTTTTGTATTCATTATACCGAAGAGCGCGACAAGCCCAATAAATTCAGTTATTTTTAGTATTATTAATGCATTTATTTGGAATAAAAGTAACCTAATTTTTTAATTCCACGCCCAAGCATATTCGATAGTTTGCTATAAAATTGATTAATCCTATAATCGTGATATCCATTTGACTTAACAGATATATGAAGTTGAAGTTCAAAGTTCATGTATTTTGAACCTACGTTATAATGGCTTATCGCTGATATATTTGCATTTACTATTTTGACAGCCATTATGTAATTAATATTAGTGACTTGCAAATAGGAAACTTTATATCATTCACTCAGGAAATATCAATGCCATGTCATGTCAGTTTTTGACACTCATCTAATGCTAGCAAAGTTTGCATTTCAAAAATTTATCTGTTATATGAATAATTTTAGTTGTATTAAATATGTTTCTGATATAACAGACATGCTTGAGTGCATTAATAGAAATGACATTTTCAGTTCTTTTATTTTATTAACTTCCCTAAGGAAAAGTTTATTTTCATAAAAAAATCCGATTCGCTAATTTTATGTTGTCTAGACACTTCAAGCCATTCTGAATCAAATGCGACCAAACTTGGAAAAACTGATTTGTTGCCGTAAATCGACGTTTTTTTCGAAAACGGCTGGACCGATTTCAAAAATTCAAAAGCCATTCGAGGCATCTCGATGGCGTTTATCAATTTTGTGCGACGATCGGCCGCGCCGTTTTTTGTAAATCACAGAAAAGTAAAAAAAAAATTGTCCACGTTTTAGCTCGCAATTCTGAATCGATTTTGAAAATTCAAAAACGGTTCGAAAGATATTGGTTGGAAATCGACCTAATTAGTTTTGTTAAAGATTGGCCGGTAAGTTTTCTTGTAATAAAGGGTTAAAAAAAATCGTCGATTTTCATGACTTTTTCTGACAGTAGAGACCATAGTCTTATAGATCATACTAAAATATTACGGTCCTACAACAAGTCGTTTATTTTTAAAAAAATCACAAAATTTGCAAAAATTAGTTTTAAAAATTACCGTTTGTTTGTTGTTTGTCAAAATAAGAACTTTCATCGACGTTTGCTCAAAACGGCCTTAACCAATTTCATAAATTTAAAAGCCAATCGATGTATTTTGGTTTATTTATTGTTTTGCTAAGTGAGGTATTTCTAAAAAAAATTAGAGAATCAAAAAAAAATTCATACTTTATTTCAAGTGAGTAAGAACGTGTAGTTTGAGTGCCATAGCCAATGAGGTAATATAAAAAAATAAAACCCCAAGGTCTACTTGTTCAATATTATATAATTTATATTAACAATATTTATTTGTCCATATTTTGTTTATGCAATCAAATTGTTAGTTTTATACACTTCTATGATAACATATTCCAATCCAAGACTTTTTTGGTCTTTCAACTTATATAGTCATTACAAATTCAAATTAATCTAATTCCGATTACGTTTCAAGTTTTTCAAATTCTTTGTGAATTCTGGATTTTGTGTATTGTGTATTATATATATATATATATATATATATATGTGTGTGTGTGTGTATGTATGTAATAATACTACTGAGCTAATAGAAAAGCTTCAAATTCCTGCGAGTAAAAGGTAAAAGGTAAAATGAATGAATGAATTTATGAACAAACATAATACTTTTTAGAGCTGTATTTGCAAGAATAAAATGTATATTTATGTCTAAAAGAAGCAAAAATTATGGCTTTTCACGAAATATTTTATATAACATGATAATATAATACAAGATTCTCAAGATTATATAATCAACGCATTAAGAGTTTTTAATTACCCTATTTAGCCATTTCAAAAAGTCGTTTTTGTATTATATCTTTTTGCATCTCGCTTACTTTACAAGAATCATTTTATTGAAAAAATATATTTCTTCCGCGAAGAAAACCCTCTTAGCATTTATTAGTCCGTAATAAAGTTTGAAACAAATTATAAAAAAGTCATTTGAAGTAAACTTGCATAATCTCGCAACATTAAATATTGCAAAACCGTAAAAGCATTACAATGTTCAAGTCGATATAAAAATTATATCTTTCGGGTAGCCTCAACTTTGCCATATTTTTATCTTGTGTTTTTTTATTAAAGCAGTCTACTTTATGACGTTTTTAAATGAGAACAATAATTGCTTTGTTCTAGGTTTTGAGATTGCTATTGTTTTAATACTTCCTTGGTTCTTCATTACTTTTTTAATGGTAGATATTTAGAATAATAATACATTTTTTGCAGAAGGATCTAAATTTTATTGCAAAACTTTGCAGGTACCTAGCACATCAATTATTTAATTTAGTTTAGAAAAAATACTAATAACTAGTTGGTATCGGTATTTTAGTATGATCTATAAGACTATGGTATCTACCGTTAAAAAAATCATAAAAATCGTCGAAAAAAAAATTTTTAACACTTTATTAGCAAAAAACTTCTCCTTCGGGAAGTTAAAAATATTGGTTATTTTTTATTCAAAACATATAGATACTAAGAAATACGTTCACTATGTTTAGAAACTCGCCAAATAATAATTAGGAACGTGAACTATCGATTTTCATTCGCTTTAACTATTCGAACGAGAAGTTTGTTTTATTTTTGGGTTACTCTTCCATTTTTTCGGCATTTCAACATTTCAACTTACTTACTACTTCTTTGGCAAAAAACTTAGAAAATATATGTATATAGGACTATGTGTGCCTGTGCAAATTCATGTTAAGACACATTTTGTCTGATGTCGGCGTTTTTACAAAAACTGCTGTATCAATATTCGGAAAAAATCGAATCCCAAATCCGAATTGTGAATACATAATATATGTGCACGATGTAGCTGAGAAGATCATACAATTTACCCCAAATATAAATGATAATTTGTTTCAACTTAACAGTTAAAAACACGAAGCTATTGATCTCATCTTAAACCAAAATTGTGATAACCTCAGATTATAGTTTTTCATCGAAAATTAACAATTCATTTAAAATCCTTGATAAATGTTATTGCATTTATTATTACAACCCAAGCAAAATAAATGTAATGATTTGGAATATGTAAAAACAGGGGATACCAAAGTTGGATTTGTAATACAAAATTGTCAAATGCATACTAATAACATTCTAGATCCTCCCCCCCAGGAAGTAATGCCTAACGGAGGTTTCCGTGGGGACCAAAGGCGAGGGCAAAGCGGAGCATTCAATGTCCTAAAAATGTGCAATATATTAATGATATTAGTTGTATCTCATTGATTAATTGTTCTTGTATGTCATTTTCTTTGCATCCTTGGATTAAAGAATTACATAAATGACTATTTATCTCAAAAACTATACCAGAATTACGAAGACTATATTATAGAGGATCATATTATGCGCAGTTTTCTTGTATCTTGATCAATGATGAATTTTATATTTTGCACATTTTTTTTTGCTTTCACAAGTGCTAACACAAGGATATAAAGTTCTAAAATGTGTGAAGTGAAAAGTATTTTATTTATCATCTCTGCAAGAAAAGTTTAGTTATTATAAACATGCACATTGAAGCAAGTTCCTTGAAAGATACAAAGACATGAATAAAATACGCTATATACTAGAAAAATACGAAGAATTTATGAGAGCAGCTCGATATTTTCCGAGTAAAATTCTTGTAGAAGATAACAAAGTTTTCTATAACGAACAGCACGAGACCATTGAAAAAATATTAAATCTTCTCTGTGCCCGAGTAGTACGCCATCTTCTTACTTATTATATGCGAACATCCTTTCGGAATTTCTTTCAGTATGAACGAACCCATTGGTTCGTTTGCTCCTTATTATCTCTCAAGACCCATTAATATGATTGGTATTGCTCAATTTATTTGTATAGTGAAATAGTTTAGTTCTTAGATAATTAACGAATATTTTGATATATAGGGTAGGGCAGAGCGCATAGGTACAATTTCACTTTGAGCAATTATTGTGAAAACCAAATAAATTACTATATTTCGGACATATCAACTATCTGACTATGTTCAGTAAAACTCTCAATTAATTGATCATTGTAAAAATGTCTTTGTTTGCTGTTTTTCAAAAATTTGCCACTTGATCTTTTTGACCCAATAGGAAGGATAAATTGGAGCAAACAAAGGGCAAACAGGTCCAATTTTTTGCTTTAATTTTAAAGGGACTTTACGATGTAAGTTGTAAGAGCTACATTATTTGACCAAAATATAAATTTTATGGGTATATTTATCACGAAGATAACAATTTGATCCGGTATTTTGTCAGAAATATTTATCAGCAGAGTTGGAAAAACAATTTAATGTATCTTTTGTAAAACTGTATTTTTACTAATTGCACATTTTTATTCACTAGTTTTTTATTATTTACAACTTGCCAGTATAAAGGTTTTGGTGGTCTTTTACACCCCAACCACATCAAAGCTTTTCTAGAGGTTACAGAAATAAAACTGTTGAATCTGTTTTAAAAATAACAATAGATTTTATAAAACAAATTAATGAAGTATACTTAAAAATTATATTCAAGTTTCATAAACTAAACAACCGTGCTCAAAAACAAAAAGACTGAGAACGAAAAAAATTCGTTTGTTGCAAAGTTTACAATAAAGCCGTTCAGCTCATAATTATTGTGATGTCTCTAAGTTTTAGGCCATGGCTGGTTATGCATTTTCCCGCCTACTTTCAAATATTGTTGTGAAATATTTCCTAGCTTTTGTTAGTGGTGGATTCGAGATATTGGTGGTGGGCCTTTTTCACCGCAGCCTTTTAAGCTTTGTTCCATCTCACAATTATTACTGAAAGATTGACACACATAGCAAGCGGCTTAATTTTGCTAACTCAATTTATTACATATCATTAACGTCTACTAAACCTTGAAATGTAATAGAAATAATAGAAATATATTCATACGCAATAAATATAATGATTTTTGCAAATAAAATCATTTTAATTACTAGATTTGAAATATTTTAAATGGATACTTTTTAAAATCTTTTAGCTTTCTATTTTTACAAGAAATGTTTTGTAGAATTGATATTTGGAATAAATTGCTTTGGTCTAAGATTTATAACATGTAGAAATTGCATTCAAAATTGTTTTTTTAACTTTATTCTGTTCATTCTAAAAAAAATTAAGTAGAGATTGCTAACATAATATGATACAATAATATTGATTATAAATTAGTAAACACACCCAGTGGCGTATCTAGGAATAAAAATTGAACATAGTAAAAAAATTTGCTAATAAAATCAAATCATTTGGCGTATAGTATTCAAAATCGCACGCTTTTTTAAAATACATTATATTCATTTCAAACTTAACTTATTACTTAAATGTTTTTACAAGTAAATTATTATATTTTACAGGTTCAATAAGCAATATCGATGGCGCTGAATATCACTGCAATAAGACGCAAGTTCGAAAGGTTATATCTGGAGTCGTTGGCGCAGCATCTTCGGTTACTAGTATTCAAGTTGCAAATCTACTTAGACTTTTTCGAATACCACAGGTGAGGTTCAGTTTTACTTATTTATAGATTTGCTGGATGTTGAAAGCTATTGCTATACGATTGCTTACGATTATTGAGTTTTATAGATTTCAACGGATTTGTAAATTTTTATTTATATAATGGATCAAACCTGATTAGTCCTCCTGGGTTTGTTGGTTAGCTTCCCGTCATATATCAAATATCTACTTGAGGTTATAGATCTCAAATATGATCTCAAGTCAAAATTGCCTCGCTTAGGTATGTCTGAGTCTGAGTACAGTTAATTAGTTACAACTGGACTGGACAAAAAATGGTGTGCCATCCATCCTTATTGCCACATAAGGAAGTCAAAACAATTACTAAATGTATTAATATGACAGATGTAATTAAGTAAAACAGATTGTATACAAAAATACCTAATATCGTACTGCGGTAGAAGATATAAAAATTTGTCCTGCTAATCGATTTTTACAATTTTTAACAAACAATCACGGCGGAACTTTCATTTGACAATTTAAATTTTGCGCTTCTTGTTACCAAATTTTGATTTATAATGAACAAAACTGATAATGACAAGTTTCTGGAGGAAATGAACATAATAATTTATGATTTACATTTTGCACTTAATTGAGTCTTAATCACAAGGCCTCTTGATCTAATCCGCGTTTTGGACAGCACGGTATCGATTAGAAGTTATTTGATAATATAAATCAAGAATGTATTTCAAAGTAAAAAAGCATTTCCCAGAATTGTAACTATATATTTAAAGTTAAATATATAATCACCATCAGAAAAAAATCTACCATCAGGAAAAATTCTACAAAAATTAATAAAGATTAAAAATTCTTAGACAAAAGGTGCAAACTTAAACATTAGATTATTGTTTGTAAATTCAAAGAAAACATTGACAAACACAATATGAAAAATTTCTCCCATTGAAACGGCGTTACATTTTTTAAAATAACAAGTGAAATTTGAATTTTCGATCGAAAAAGATAGAATTTCGCTTTTTGACGAATGAAATGTGAGTTTTCATTCGAAATTCGAGAAGAGTTAAAATTGTCGCATTGATTGAATTTAAAATGTGCGTAATGCTCATATGTATGTATGAACATATATATATATATATATATATATATATATATATATATACATATATACGTATATATGTGTGTGTTATTTCTATGCTATATATGTACGTACTATTTATTAATGGCATAGTGTCTTTAATTGCAGAAAACAGCCATTACTTAACCAAATATTAAAAAGACAAAATCCAAAAACTAGTAAACTTTAAGTCAAAGTAAACAATATTTACGAAAACTGTAATATTAAAATGTTATATTTATAACAAATATTTTTAAGTAATTTTGAAATTTTGAAAAACTTGAATATTCTCCTAAATCTATAAAAAAACATAACATAACTAATTTGTTTAAAAACTAAACTATTTTGTACTTGAAAAGAAGAGAAAAACTGAAACAAAAAACACAAATTTAAGGCCTCACCGCTCAAAGATGCTGAAAACTTATTTGTGATAATTAAAACCATTTTCTATATAACTCTAAACTAGGTGCACACAACATTTAAATCATTTCGTAAACTTTAATACTTGAAATTAAATTTTGCATTACTCTAATATACAAGTAGATTGTATAATATTTCCAACATTTATTATGTTGTTTTTATGACATCCATCTTACGTTCTTAGGATGAATGATAAAATCTTTTATACAAATTACAACTCTACAACTTTGTGTCGAGAAAAATATCTTTATACCCAAATCGCTTATCAGCTCGTAATGCTTTCAAGAAAAATATAAGATTTTATGACAGTCGACGGTTTGATTAAGGCGATAACTTGAATGGCAATGGCACTGTAAGTGGCGAGATTTCAAATTTCAAATTGAAGTCGACAAAAACTTTGTATAATAATTCTGTACTTAATCTTTGACAGATCAGATTTATCTTCTTCCATCATAAGCTAACAAGTCGTTGGAAGTTCTAAAGCTTTGAACTTTTAACGCTCGAAGTGTTATTGAAGCAAAAAGCTTAAATACTTATATAAAAGCGTGAAGTTTTTAAAGTTATCGCGATATTATTCTATTTAATGATTTACTTCAGTTATTGTTCTCTGATCCATTAAAAGTTCTGTCACGATTTAGAGAAAGAAAAATCATTTCAAGATTCATTTTTTTAAACAACTATACATATACACACACACACATATATATATATATATATATATATATATATATATACTAGATGACCCGACAGACGTTGTTCTGTGCCCACGTCTATAATTCAAGAACTCCAATTTTTAATATTCCAACCTATACTTTATAATATCCTATTTAATGCCCTGTCTTTTTGATTCAGTTATGATCTTAACATAAGATATACGTTTTGGAAATGGGAGTCTTTCAAACAGATTTAAAAAGAATTATACTATTATAGTATCCGGGGCTAAAAGTCCAATATAACGGTAAATTTTTCCACCCAAAGAATTGCTTCATTAATGCTGCCTATAATTTTTACAATCTCGTACCATATTTCAATTGGTTTTCAGTAATTATAATATCTTAATTCTTAATCAACTGTACGATACAATCAATACACGATCAACTAACAAAAT